TCCTTACATATATGGCTTGTTGCTCCCGAATCAACCCACCATGCAACATCATCATCCTGCACATAAAATGCTTCAGAAATCATAGAAATATAATTATGAACATATTTAGAATTCTGCATGGAAACAGAAATCTGACCTTGTTGCTTTTCTGGATCCTTAAATCCACTTGTTCCAGGACCATCATTGTTCACTTTGCGAAGACGATATTCTTTCTTGAAGTGACCCGGTTTGTTACAATTCCAACAAACCAACTTAGCCTTCTTGTTGGAAGACTTGTCATCCTTTCCTTTAAACTTCCTTTTTCCATTAGACTTCTTGGGATTCTTTGAACTTTCTCCTTCCACCATGTTCATAGAAGAGGAATCAACTTGGTTCTTCCCTTTAGGATTGTTGTCAAGTTCTTGAGTCCTTATGGACTCTTCAATCCTTAAATGGCTTCCAAGTTGAGTCAAAGTCAATTCCTCTTTGTTATGTTTTAGATTGTGTTTAAAATCCTTCCAGGAAGGGGTAGTTTGTCAATGATCACAGCCACATAAATGGCTTCATCCATTTTCAAACCGTGTTGAGCAAACTGTCCGAGAATCCTTAACATTTCATGGAATTGTTCCATAACAGGCCTGGAGTCAATTATCGTGTAACCCATAAAGTTACTAACAAGAAACTTCTTACTATAAGCATCTTCAGCCATGGACTTGGATTCAAGAGAATCCCACAGTTCTTTCGCAGATTCGAAATTTTGAGAGATATTAAAAAGAGAGTCAGACATACCATTGAGAATATGACCACGACATACGTAATCATTATTTTCCCACTTTAATGTTCTTCTTGTTTCCACCAAAGGTTCATCTTCAACAGATTCTGGTAAGACTGGCATGGGTGTACTCAGAACATACACCATTTTCAGAGTGGTAAGGAGAAACTTCATCTTCTTCTGCCATCTACGAAAATCTTTCCCTTCAAACTTGTTCAGTTTTTCAAACTTACTTGTCATTTCCTTCATGTAATCACCACTTGCCATGATCACATAAATACTTTAATCTTTGTAAGAATTAGGGTATAGAAAAGGCTTGGAAATTCTGAGAATTGTGGTTTTCACTTTTAGATTAAAGTATTTGGGTGGTACTCCCAATCTTTAATCGGATAAGACTCAGAATTGAGAAAATAGAAGAGAATGTTCAAGATGTTATGAAGAAGAAGTGTACCAACAATAGATTTCGGATATGATCATATAACCAGAAAAATTTCCAGTCTTAAAACTGCCACATGACAGTTTTATGTCCTAAAACTGTCTAAACGTCATAAACCAAATTAAATTCGGGTCTAGAATATGGATCAAAAACCGGGTACATTTACCAAAAATACAGATTTCGACCCCAGCCAGGGGCTCTGCCCCTTGGACCCCGCCAGGGGCTGCCCCCCTTGGACTCCGCTCCCAGGGGCGCTGCCCCCGAACCCTCGTCAGTTCAGGGGCTTCGCCCCTAAATAGCAGTATACTTTCAACAAACACAAAATTAAACAAATGTGCACTCCGCACCATACCGATTTGTTCAATAATTACCAAAGTGACATTGATCAACATATTAACCCCATTACACTTAAATAACATTAGTGATATAAAATAACCAACATTAGTGCCACTACTACCGAACGTTTATGTGTCCTCCACTCTTCATGTTTGTTGTGGAAACAAATTAAAACAATTCATTTTAGGACTTACCAAATTAACCCCAGATGCAATGCAAGTTTTAAGAGTTGCAGATAAGTTAGAAAAAGATCTTGTACAAATTGTTGTACATATTGCAGTTGTAGATTTTGTTGATAGTGATGATGGTGGAAAGGAAATTATAAGGGAGATGCCACCTTTTGAAGCAGAATCTGCAATTGCAAATTTAGTTAAAGAGCGGGTGAAGTTGAGACTAGACAAGCTGAAAGAGTGGGTTGATAAAAATCTCCAACAATAGGTGAGTTCATTAAATAGCAACGTACTTTGATTTTTAGTCACAACAAAAATCTATTTTTAATTATTATAACTATCATTGACCTGGAAAATGTTACATTATTTACTGAAAGTGGGTTGGTATTATGAGTAAAACTTAAAATGTCATTAGGTTTGTTATCTTTTAGTAAATACTTGATGTCTAGTTTGCAAGTGAAGCTCCTAAAATGTTTAATTAATATCCATGCCTCAGTACATTATATTAATGTTTATCCTGTTATAACAAAGTAATTTGACATTTGAAGGGTTAATTATGAGAAATAAAAATATACTTTACCCAAATTCCCAATTATAGCCACGTAGTTTGAATTTAATCATAATAGAAATCTACTTCGATTTTGTTTGTGATTATAACCAATGACCCAGAATGTTCCTCCTATACATTGTAATCGGGAATTATGGTAAATACATTGCAATTATCTATTGAAAGTTACCTGCTATTATGAGTAAAACTTATGGTTTCATTAAATTGGATTCCTTTTAGTGAAAGTGCATGTCTAGTTTGGATTTGGCGCCTCTAAAACAATTGATATACATGAACCACTACAATATATTCATGTTTATCCCATAATACAAAAATAAATTGACATTATAATTTTTAAGGTTTAATAATTGTGAGAAATAGGGACGTAGTTTACTAAAATATTCCAGTATAGCAAAATACTTTAAGTTCTAAGTTTTTAATAATAACAGAATTCTACTTTTGTTTTTTTCTTGAGATTATAACGACCAATGACTTGTCACCTTGCTATTATTGGAAGTTTTGGTAAAGTAACTTGCTATTATCTATATAAAAAAAAGTAGGTTGCTTTTATGAGTAAAACTTAAAAGTGTGATTAGATTGAATTTCTTTTAGTAAATGCTTCATGTCTAGTTTGCATTTGATTATTTTAAATTGTTTAATATTCATGCCTCAGTAGCAGTACAATATATTTAAAGTTTCTCAAGAAAACCTATAATTTGCCCAAGAAACTATAATGATTTGTTCGTGAAAAGAATGGTTAGATTGTGTATAGTTGATCTTGGAGTATCTTTTCTGTTGAAGACAAGGCAACATGTGAAGATTGATTCATCACTGCTGAGTGTTAATATAAATTCATGGGCTCTTTTTTTTAACATGTACATTTTCTATGATGGATTTGTGATTGTTTTATTTTGACAGGAGAATTTTTTTCTCTATTTGGGAGATCCTTTTAAAGATAGGTGTAGTTGGGCATAAAACGGTTGGTCTTAAATTCATATTAGGTATTTGTTAGTATGTTAGCATTTAGGGTTTAGGCCGAAGGCCCTTAGGGTTTAGGTTAGGCCAATGACCCCTTATATATCCCTATTTATATGAGGTTTAACCCTCAATATTAATTGATCAATATTTTATCTTACACGGTATCAGAGCTCTAGGTTAAAACTCTACTGCTACAACAACTCGTAGCCGTCGCCGTCCACATCCGACGACATTCTCTCATAGTCGTCGGAGGCGGCTTCATTATGCTCCATATTTTTTTCCTCCTAAAAAATAAAGTAACCGCCGGCACCAAACCAGAGCTCTTTTAGCGGCTTCTTCTACTGCCTCGTTTGGTTATGGCTCCTCCTAGGATGGCCCCTGCCTTCGAGCCTTCTGCCTTCTCCTCAACTCGTCTCTTTTTCAGATCTATTTTCCGAGTCGGTCGGAATAGGCTCCGTCCGCGGCAACTCACGCTCTCTTTTTTTTCTCACTGCTTTTCTCCGGACCCCTCTACCACTGGCTTCATAATTGTCGTCACCACCGCTCCGCTCTTCTTATACAAAGGAACCACCGTTCTTCTCTTTCCTTCTCTGACGAGCCGCCACTGTTAGCCGCCATCGTCAGAGCTCTGCCACCGCCGTTGCTGTTGTCTTCATTTATGTTTTGTTTTATTTTCCAATTTAATCGACTCCTCCCGATCAAACTGTCGTGCCGGGGGGGGGGGGGGGGGGGGGAGGGTTAGTATGTTATCATTTAGGGTTTAGGCCCAAGGCCCTTAGGGTTTAGGTTTGGCCAATGGCCCCTTATGTATCCCTATTTATATGAGGTTTAACCCTCAGTATTAATCGATCAATCTATTATCTTACAATATTTATTTATGATTTTGTATTGGCTTCGGTTTTGGTTGTTATATGGTACGAATTATTGATATGTTAAATATGAGTTTGGATTTCTTGTGTGTTATTGATCGATGATGTTAGTTTTGTGACAAAGTTGTTGCCTAAGCTTGCACAATTGTGGCTGAGAGGGTAGTTACTAACCCACAACCTAACATCTCTTACATGTCTCATTGTAGTTTCACAGAGGAGGCGTTTAATGCACAATTGAAACTTTTTATCAAGTTTCCCATCCTTATATCAAAGTCTGCAAAAATTTGGCATTGATAAAAAATTGAAACCACAATTTCTTTTTCAAGAAAGAATGAGAAAAACAAAAACATAAGAATATGAGAATCCTGAAAGCCAAAAGATTTGATGCAAATCACACAGACTGGTAACAAGTACCAAACTAATGATGACTTAATTCTAGATTTAAATGATAAACCATAAGAAGCCTGGGTAGATTTATTGAGTACACAATCAGTAGATCCACAAACTTTTCAAATTATAGTTACTAACAAAGATTCATTAGAACTTGAAGAAGCTGAATGAATCCTGGCTGAACCATTGGGCATCTGACTCTTTGGTAATGCATGCCACTTATCAATGTACCCCATCGACTCCATGTCTAAGTTGGGAAGTTGACGTTTTTTAAGCATTTTCAGGATCTTTATGGATCTACCAAGAAGCTGAGCTGCAGTCAGTGGCGGATACAGCCACTTTTAGTTGGGTGTCTTGCCCCCACTTAAAAGAGTGTACCAACATATACTATAATTATATATATTGTCCCCACTTTAACATTTTTGGCACCCAATTTGCCTAAAAATCAGAAAAAAAACGTTGAAAGTTAATATATAATTACTATTATTTATGTATTAATTAATTTTTATATAAATGGTCACCACTACACTGAAGTTCTGGGTCCGCCACTGGCTGCAGTTTTGATGTTATCTTCCCTTTTCTCTATTGCATCTTCATGACACTTCATAGTTATGACACGTGGTAAGTTGGTAAAGCAAGCACATAGCAGATCTGCGATTATGGTTGATATCCACTCAAAAAGCTCCTCATCTGTTGGCAAATTTTCTTGCCTATTGCAGTGAAGCAATATGGTTTGGCTGATCTTGTACATACAACTTGCAGCAATGAACTTACAAAGTGAGTGATCCAGACTTACATTTTTCCTTGTCTTGAACTGTATCACAATTTTTGCTGCTTCATCACCCAACCATTGGAGAATCTCCTTTGGCGTTTTTCCTTTACGAGCCTTATTTTGAAGATCAATTTGTAGCCACCTGCAGTATACTTCAACGTCGGTCCACACACGTCTTGCTGCTTTTCTTGCCTTTACCAATTCACTGTTTGCATTGAGGCTTTCTTCGATATGTGTTACAAATTGGAGACCTTCCCTCATACTAGCAACTAATCCCTTCACATGACAGTTTGCAGTTTTAGGAAGTGAAAGGGCAATGGCAGTTAATGTTACTGCTACTAGGCTCCAGCAGCTCTCGATTTCTTCTGGATGTAAAGGTGGGACTTGCTCATTGTCAAACTCTATTACTCCATAGAATCCTGTAGATTTCTTGAGAAGCGTCATAAGATTATCCGGCTCTTTCTTTTCAGACTCATGAAGAAGTCGAGTCATAGAATTGAGCATGTTTCTTAATATTTTCTTTGAAAGCTTTGCCTTCAATTCAATTTGTAGGACATAACCAACATATTCTTCCATCTCTGATCTCATATGGATGTTAGATTCATCTGCTTCTTCTTTAAAGCTTCTCAACAATGACTTGCAGAAATAGTAAGTACAAGATAGGAAGATCAGAAAAGTTATGGGAATGAGGCATATTGTGTTGCATATAATCACAACCGTTATCTGAACTGCAATGAAAATGTTGAAGATCATGTTTTTGATGTTATGGAAAACCATTTTGCAATGCCGTCCTAGGATATGTGAAGAGACATGGCTGCTTTTCCACATCTGAAGCCTTTGGATCCATTGCTTCTCCACTCGGAACACGTTTAGACGATTCTTGCTCAATTTCTGTGAGAGTTTGAAATGACTGGTGGCAGTCAAACATCTAAATATTGGTGCTATACTACCTACTGTTGCCCCAAGTAATTGCAATATAAGAATTACATCAATTGACCACTTATAATCTGAAAATATATATTTTCCACGCTGAAAATATGACGTATCAGAAAACAGGATAATGAAAAGAGTAAATGAACTGCAAGCAATGAATGAGCATAAAACCCCAAAAGCAGAAGAAACCGGTGAACAAGCAATTGCAAATTGGGGATTACCAGTCTTAGCCATCATCCAATACTTCTTAGCATAACGTATGAGTGCCTTGGAGGAGAACTTTATCTCCTGATGATTTGAAACCAGTCCCTGCAACTCCTCGTACTGGTGTTGTAAAATTCTTCTAGTTTCTGGAACTGTCAAAGCTACCGGAAATGGCCATAGAAGGGAAAATATAAATATGAGCATTTGTATCAGGACTGGGAAAGGCAGCATAATACTAAATTGGATCAAAACATTTACAGTGATGGTGACTATAAGAATACCCAAGGCTATTATGTTCATTAGAAGTTCCCTGTCATTCATTAGCCCTAGAGAAGGAAGAGAGTTAGCTAACATGGTGACCAGGAAAAGGATGCTGATCATCTTTGCCACCATATCATGACTGCTATCAGACATGTCATCCGATAGATCCACTGGCAGCTTCATTGCTACTGCCATCAGTGTGATGGTAGCAGCATTGATAGTGAAAAATCTGCATGGAAACCATAGTTTCCCTTGTCTAAAGCCTTGAAAGGCATCAGCTGCCATTGCAAGAGTGCAAACCAGAGATGCTACGCAAATTTACAGTCCCACCCATGGCATGGCTTCGGTAGGAGATTTCCAACCCATTCTGCTAGACAAGAGATCGAAATGGAAAATTTTAAGTGCGGAGCGATGTACCGGTTTTTATTTTGCATACTAGCGGTTTATGTAAAATTCCTCCACCTTTCCTTATTAAGGGCTGGGTAATTGTTGATGTAATTAAGTAGGTAGTTGGCAGCCTTCTTAAAGACTTGACCCAAAGTAAACGAATAATGTTGCTAAAGCTTGACCAAAAGACTTGACCCAAAGTAAACGCTTAATGTTGCTAAAGCTAGATCAAAAGTAAATACATTATGCATCCATCAAATATCCTATTAAGAAAAGAATTCATTTAATTGACTGACAGTAAAAATAGGGAAATTAAGTAATCTAACAATACTTTAATGTGTATTTGAAGAAACTAACCATAAAAAAAATATTTTTAGTCCGTACCAAGAAAAAAACATTTTTTTTGAAAAAAAATTACATTTCAGACTGAATTCTGGAACAACATGCTGTATTCCAGTCTGAATTTCAGATTTCAAAAAAAAACACTTGTAATTTCAAGAACAAGTCCGAAATCTGATGAACAATTCCGGAATTCCGAAGAAAAAATTTGTTTTTTTACTTAGGACATCCACAATGGAGACTTAATAGGAGTTGAATGAATGATGATTAGGATTGAATAGAGGTTGAATGTAACTATAATCATTATCTGAAGTGCTACAAGAGTTCAAAATCACATTTCGGATATTATGGAAAACCTTCTTGCAATGGCGGCCTGGGATATGCGTCGGGACAGGGCTGCTTTTCCAAAGCTGAAGCCATTGTATCCAATGCTTCTCGACTCGGAACACGTTTAGATGGTTCTTGCTCCATTTCATGGAGAGGTTGAAATGACTGGTGGCAGTCAAACATCTGAAAATTGGTGCTATACTACCTACTATTGCCCCAATTGATTGCAACACAATAATCACATTGATTGACCACTTATAATCTGATTTATCATTTTGATAACTTGATCTATCAACAAACTGGCCTATCAAATTAACAACTGAAATCAAAGCAAGGATTGGGCATATAACCCCAAAAGCAGAAGACACAGGTGAACAAGCAATTGCAAATTGGGAGTTACCAGTCTCTGCCATTATCCAATACTTTTTAACATAACGAATGAGTCGCTTGTTGGAGAAGTTTATCTCTTGATGTTTAGAATTAGAAATCAATCTGTGCAACTCCTTGTACCTTTGTTGTAAAACTCTTCTAGATGCTGAAACCGTCAAGGCTACCGAAATTGACAATAGAACTAAAAGAATCAATAAAAAGAATATTGTTCCGATTCCCAAATATAGAATCAATAAAGGCATTATTGTAAAACTAACTGCATATTTACAGTAATGGTGAATATGAGGATACACAAGGCCACCGTATTCAACGAAGTTCCTTGTCATTCATAAGCCCTAAAGTAGGGAGAAAGTTGGCTAACATGGTGACAAAGAACATAATGCTAACAAACTTTGCTCCAATCCCTAGTCTGTCAGAATTGTCGGTGCTTAGATCCATTGGTAGCTTTGTTGATATTGCTATCACTGTAATCGAAACAGAGTTGATGGTAAAAAATATGCATGGAAACCAGAGCTTCCGTTGTCGAAAGCCTCGGAAGACATCGGCTGCCATTGCTAGAGTGCAAACCAGAGATGCTACGCAAATATACAATCCCACCCATGGCATGACGTTTGCAGGAGTTGTCCATATCATCTTGCTAAATATTAGAAATAAATCACCTTTGTAAATTAGTTTATTTATTTTCTATATTTACTTATTAGATTCCTTGTATATCTCCTTGTAATATTGTATATAAGCGTGATTAGTAAATCAATAAAATTAAATCACCCCTCTTCTCAAATTGACATCAAACAATTACCTTCTGTGGCGAAATCAAATCACCCCTCTTACCAAACATCAGAAGTGGATGTCTCATGTCGATGGATCTTCTGCCATTCCGCCACTCAAAACCCTTGTTGACGGCAAAGAAATCTCGAATCCAGCCCATGAAGCTTGGATCGATGTTGACCAGAAGGTGCTCTTAATCATTCTCTATGTCCGAAGAATCAATGACAGAGGTGTTAGGTCTTTCTTCCCCTCGAGAAGTTTAGACAGCCTTGGAATCCGCATATAGCCATGATTCTCAAGAACGGTCACAAAACCTCAAGGATTCTCTGCGCCAGCTTAAAAAGGGTACCCTTTCTGTCTCTTTCTGTCTCTGAATATGTTAAACAATTTAAATCTATTTGTGATAAACTACATGCTATTGGGCAATCGGTTCCTGAAACCCATAAAAGCCATTGGTTCTTGTGTGGCTTGGGACCTACCTTTGAAACCTTTTCAACTGCCCATAGGGAACTTCCTACACGCCCAAGTTTCCATACCCTTGTGACTCAAGCTGAAGGTTACAAGATGTTTATCTCATCATTACATGAACCGACTCCATCTCCTGTTGCCTTTAATTCCTCTCGTGGGAGAGGTCGATCTGGGCAGCCTAGTAATCGGGGTGGCTCCTCTTCTCGCGGCAAGGGGAGGTCTGGTCGTCGACCTCCTCATTGTCAGTTATGTCGTCATGATGGTCGTTATGCAAGTGCTTATCCCGATCTCAGAAACTATGCTGAACAATCTCCACATTCGGCTGCCAACCTTGTTCAGGCCTTTAATGCAAGTTGCAACATAAATGAGTCGTCTCCGAATTGGTATGTTGATTCCGGAGCAACGGCTCACATGGCTCCATCTTCGACATGTTTTGATTCCTTGGTTCCCTATCATGGCAAAGACAAGGTAGCTTTTGGGAATGGTAATATACTTCCCATCCCTCGTATTGGTACTTTTTCGCTTGCCCCAAATTTAAAATTACGAGATGTTCTCATTGTCCCTCATATCAAAAAGAAGCTACTCTCTGTCAGCAAATTAACTAATGATTACCCGATTGATGTTTTATTTTCTCAGTCCTCTTTTGCTATTCAGGACACCCTCCACAAAACGATTTTGGCGACAGGCAAGCATAAGGATGGTTTATATGTCTTGGATCCAGCATCTCACGCATTGGTGGCCTTAGTGATTTCTTCTATTATTGCATCTTTTGATTTATGGCATAAAAGACTTGGTCATGTTGCTTACGACATTGTTTCTCTTCTTAATACAAATGGATGTTTACGTGTTACTTCTGTTTTGCCAGGTCCTAATTTATGCATATCTTGTCAATTATCCAAGCAACATCGTTTGCACTTTAAATTGAATGATAAAAGATCCTTGCATGTTCTTGACTTAGTTCAATGTGATTTATGGGGACCGGCTCCAATTACATCTATTGATGGTTACCGCTACTATGCTTTATTTGTTGATGATTACTCCCGCTTCTCTTGGTTTTATCCTTTAAGAAAGATGTCGGATTTTTATGATATTTTAGTAAATTTTTTAATCTTTGTTCAAACTCAATTCACTTGCAAGATGAAAGTTTTTCAAAGTGACGGAGGTACTAAATTATCAAATCATCGGGTGCGCAAATTATTTGCTGAAAATGGTACTCACCATCAAATGTCGTGTCCTTATATTCCTCAACAAAATGGACGTGTTGAACGAAAGCATTGTCATCTAACTGAAACCGGTCTTGCCATGCTTTTTGGTGCAAATGCACCTGCTCACTTTTGGGTGGATGCTTTCTCTTCTGCCACATATGTTATCAATCGTCTACCCATAAAACTGTTACAAGATAAATCCCCGTTTGAAGTTCTCTTCAATATTCCTCCAAATTACAACAACTTTAAGGTTTTTGGATGTCGGGTTTTTCCATTTTTACGACCCTATGCGGAACACAAACTTGCTCCCCGGAGTATTGCATGCATCTTTCTAGGTTATTGTACTCAATATAAAGGATACAAGTGTTATGATCATCTTACTTCCAAATCCTTTATCACCCGCCATGCTAAGTTTGATGAAAACTTCTTTCCATTTGCAAGTGATTATAATTCTGCAAATGATCTTGCATTGTTTTTGAGCTGCTACTCTGATGAATTACCACCTACTCATGCTCCTAGAAATTTCGCACCAACGGCTACTTCACCAGAGACTGTTCCATTACCATCTAAACCGTGCACCTCATGCTTACATGACGACTCATCTCTGGTTGTCGCTGACGACTCATCTCTGGTTGTCGCTGCAACCCTGACACCATCATCTATGCCGGTTTCCTCTCCGGTTTTAACTCCAGCAACCTCTTTGGGTCCTTCCCCACCACCTGCGCCGCCACCACAATCTCTGTCACCACAGTCGCCAACCTCGTCGCCACCATCATCACCGTCGGCTGCTCCAGCTCTCGGTCACTCTATGTTTACCGAAAGCAAAGCTAGCATTGTTAAACCACGCCACATCTTTGATCTTCTTGCTATTTCCCCAACACATTTGCAATGTGCCTTGTTTGCTTCCAAGGAACCCAATGGGTTTAAATCGGCCTCCAAACTTGATCATTGGTGCCGTGCTATGTCAGAAGAAATACAGGCCCTTCATGATAATAAAACCTGGACTCTTGTCCCATGACCATCACATGCGAATGTTGTTGGTTCTAAATGGGTCTTTCGCACTAAATATCATGTTGATGAGACTATTGATCGTCATAAAGCTCGTCTTGTAGCCTAAGGTTTCACTCAAATTCTGGGTTTTGATTTTTCTCATACCTTCAGCCCGGTGGTTAAAGCTACAACTGTTTGTGTTGTCTTATCTTTGGCTGTCACAAATAGGTGGCCTCTTCATCAGTGTGATGTTAAAAATGCCTTTTTAAATGGTGACCTTCATGAAACCGTTTATATGGAGCAACCTCCACGTTATGTTGACTCTAAATATCCAACACACGTTTTTCGTCTCAACAAAGCCTTGTATGGACTTCATCAAGCCCCAAGAGCTTGGTTTCAACGTTTGAGTTACTTCTTAGTTGCTCAAGGTTTCAAGTGTAGTCAAGCTGATACATCTCTCTTTGTTTTTCATCAAGGATCGTGTCTCTTGTACCTCTAGGTTTATGTTGATGACATTGTTTTGACTGGCAACCACGCCCCTTCCTTTACTCGCTTCATCTCTCACTTAAAGAATGAGTTTGCTATTAAAGATTTGGGTAAATTGAACTATTTTCTTGGGCTTGAGGTTACTTATGACTTTGATGGTTTATTTCTAAATCAGAGTAAATATGCTCATGATATTTTGAGTCGGGCCGGTCTACTTGATGCGAAACCAATAGGTACACCACTCGCTACAAATGACGTTTTCACCTCTACTGGCACTCCCTTTCATGATCCTACTCAATATCAGTCTTTTGTTGGAGCTCTTCAATACTTGACTATCACTAGGCCCGATATTTCGTATGCGGTGAATCAAGCTAGTCAATTCCTTCACTCTCATACTGACCAACATTTTACCCTTGTCAAACGAATTCTATGATATGTCAAAGACACAATCAATTATGGTCTTCATTTCTCTGTGCCTACTAAATCTATGCTTGTTGGTTATTCTAATGCAGATTGGGCTCGTTGCATTGAGACTAGGCGTTCCACCTATGGCTACTCTATTTTTCTTGGAGGAAATCTTGTGAATCTGAGTATCGGGCTATGACAAATACTGCTGCAGAACTCATCTGGATTACTCATCTGTTACATGATCTAAATGCCTTACCTCCTGCTAGACCGAATTTACTTTGTGATAACCTCAGTGCTATTTTCTTAAGTCAAAATCCTGTTACACATAAACGAGCCAAACATATAGACATTGATCATCACTTTATTCGTCAACTTGTGTTGTCTGGTAAGTTGCATACAAAATTTGTTCCAACCAAGCTTCAAGTGGCAGATATCTTCACCAAACCGTTACCTCGACCACTTTTTGAGAGTTTTCGGTAGCAACTCAGAGTTCATCCACCACCTGTGCGCTTGAAGGGGGTATTGGAAATATATCACCTTTGTAAATTAGTGTATTTATTTTTCTATATTTACTTATTAGATTCCTTGTATATCTCCTTGTAATATTGTATATAAGCGTGATTAGTAAATCAATAAAATTACTGGGAACATTTATCCCATCTTACACTAGACAAGAGAAAATGAAGAGTTAACTTGATCTAGCAATACAAAACCTAACTGATGCTTGATATATATACATAAAAGTTCAAGAAAGATTTTTATTTAATTTGATCAAGGAGAATATTAATGAAACAAACTAGTGAGAAGCTAGACAGATATTTCCAGGAATCTATTGACAAGACTTCTATTTCCATTTTAGCCGGTTTGTGTATTTTTCGTCCCCTTTCCTTCTCAAAGTACTTGACAGGCATTGATGTATCCAGCATAATGTAGCTAAGGGCTAAGGCTTGATCAAAGATATATGTGACCTTATATATATATATATATATATATATATATATATATATATCCCATGTATGTAATATTATTATGTAGTGTGATGCGGTGCGGGTTGAACCACAATTTAGTAATTAAAAACCGCACATCATAGTACGGTTTGAAAAAATTACGAACCACAAACCGCACCATGATAGTTCTAAACCACATTATGCAGTGTGGGCGGTTTGTGCGGTTTATGTGGTTTGATGAACATCCTTGACACATGCACTTGAAATCAACCAGTCAACTTTCATCTAACTTTCACCTTTCACTATAACTTTATAGCTTTCCGGTAAGTCTCTACATGCAATCAACTCCTCCACTAACAAA